AGGGTGACACTTCCTGATGAATTCCTTGATCTCTGGGAATTCCAGAGACTCTATAGGGTGGGTGTAGGAGAACCAGTTGAGGTATGAGGTCAGAGAACTCAGGTTCTGGTTTCAACTGTGTCATGTAATCAGACCTGGCTGAAGACCAACGTCCTCACCTGAACACAAATAAAATAGCAACCATCTAGAACTACACTGTGGTTTTAACTCCGTCAAATAGCTTGGAACCTAGGAGGCATGAAACAAATTTTAATTAAATCTTCATCTCCATTATGTTATGGTTCCATATTTACATTTCCAATATAAAAATATTATAAGAAAAATTATGTAATTAACATGAAAACATTTTGAAACAATGGAAAAGAGTAACATGAAAGTAAAATCCACAGAATTATTCTGCATGTTTCATGAATTCAATCAATGTTATTACTGTTATCTAACTCTGTTTTTACTCATATTTACCTATTTTTCATCAATTCTCCTTTCTTTTTCCTTTTCCCCATGTATCCCAATTTCACCAAATTTTCCTCCATAGAAAATGCAAATTGAGAGAATGCCTTCTCATTTTTGTTTCATTTTGTTTTTTTACTGTATGAGTGTTTTTAAATTGTTTTCTCAATCATTCTAGCAACTGGATTTTTTTTCTCAAGGTAATAGGGGACTTGAATGTTGACTCTAGTGGATTCTACTTCTGTCTAATCTAGGTCGGGATTTATGGAGAGCGCATGTGGTGACAAAAGGGACCACAGAAGACTTTCTTCAGGATGGGTGTAACAGAGTCAAAGAGAAATTCAGAACTCATTTGGGAACAACATAATCTAGAAAGAACTAAGACCTAGAAGTTAATGGTCCTGAAGCATGTGAAGCCTCCAAAAACATCCTGAAATTATACTGAAGGAATAATATAATTATATTTTTTTGAATGAGAAATCTGGTCACTCATGTATAAATTTCCCTTTATTAACTGAAAAGTTGATGACACAAAGAAATTAATACGCCATGTCTCTCAGGAATTAGTTGTAGCCTTCCTTTTTTTCCTAATGAAATCCACTGGACATATCTTCTCATTCAAATTTGTATCAAATTAAAAAATATGTTTCTGTAGGCTGTGAATGTTATTTTTGGCTCTTTTCTTGGTTTTACACAAAACGGAAAGGGAGCCAGAGAAGGAATCAAACTTGAACTCATGTCTATGACTTGCATTGTGCAATACTATAAATAGCATGACTTGTGAATATTTGGAATGCAAGATATGTTTTTGCAAGTAAAATACAGAACCATAATTCTATGTGGTGGATGAAGTTGAACATAAATACTCATATCTTGTTGCTGACAGGGTATCAAAGTTGTGGAATTAGGTTAATTAGTGTAGGGGTAAACATATTTCAACCACATAATACACTAGTACAGACTAAAGAAAATTCCCTAGGGGTGTGTGCGGTGGGGAGCGATGGAAGAATCTTTCATCAGTGATAGGTATTTGTTCTTCGTCTCATTTTCCTTACAGGAAAAATGTGACTTTGGCTTCAACTTTTTCTTTCTTAAGGAAGTTACGTAACAGACCTTTAAGCTAAAATCTAGAAGGACAAATGAGTTAATGAATGTTAAATGCTTTTGAAGTATTTAAAAGAACAGAGGACTATTAAATCTGTGGCATTAAAATGAGTACTCCTCAGAGTTCCAATTCAGTTATCTAATGGGTACCCCGTCTTTGGAGATGCCCTCACAATGGCTTTAAGTTTTCCAGGGCAGGCAAAATGACATAGGTAGAGGTAGCCATTTTGCAAAGATATTTCGGAAAATGTAAATAGGAAAAAAGTTACTGGGGATATGGGAGAAATTTCAGATTGAGGATATTCTTGTGGTAAAGAAATCGGTCAATTTTCAGAGCACCTCCTGTGTGTCGGGCATATTGTTAGATGCTGGGAATAGAAAAATGAATTGGATGGGTCCTCTTGCCTTCAAGGGGGTGACAGATAATTACACAAATAATTAACACACTGTGAGACTGGTATTAGGCTGGGGACTTGCACAAATAACTGTGAAAGCGGTGAAAGGTGGAATGGAAGCAGGAAGAACGAGGTGAGGCGTTTTAAATTCAAGTGAAATTGTTGACTCATTTAGATGCCATTTTAAACAATAGTGACTTTGGTTTTTGCTGGGGGCGGCGGGGTGTGGGGTGGGAGGCAGGAGAGTGGTAGCAGTTGTCAGACACACATCACACTAAAAAGACAAGAAGAAACAAGGAAATTCTCTTCCAAAACAATGAGGAAAAAATATCCAGAACTTCCCTGAAATAAAGGAAGCCTTCTGGCTACAACGTGCGTTGCTAGGGATTTATTTTTTTCCTCCTTTCCTAAGAGAGTAAAATCACGCAGACACATTCAAGCCCTAAGAGTTTTGTGAGCATATTGTGTATTCAGGACGTCAACTGAGCATGGTGTTAAGTGCGTGACTATAAAGAAAGGGTTAAACGGAAGGGGGTGGGTCGGAGATGGGAAGGCTGGCGAGAAGGTTCAAAAACACCATTTTCCAACTTGCAAAAACTCTGAACTTTTAAGCACCAAAAATACACATGTGTGTGTCTGTGAGCTCAGGCAGATCTATTTCGGTAGAATTAAAAAAAAAAAATTAAAATCGTAATCTCTCTCTCTCTCTCTCTGTGCTTCAAACACCGAGCAGCCCCCTTAGGATCGCTCGGCAAAAGCTGCAGCAGAGGCACCGGCAGCGATATTTACGAGCCGCGCTCAAAGCCACCCTCTCGTCCTTCCCCCGCTGCGAACTACCGTCTTCGAGTCTGGGTCACCACTGGGGCCCTGGAGTTGGGGGCGGGGGCCCGGGAACCTCCTTCCTCCGCCAAACTTTGCCCGGTCGTGGGAGCTAGGGCGCGAGTCGCGGTGCGCGGGAACGCGCCGCCGGCCGCCCCCTCCGCCCGGCGCTGGCAGCCGGGGGCCTCACCTCTCCGCTGCGAGGTGCGGGCTCCCAGCGCTCAGCCAGTGGGCGGTGCCGGGCCGCGCGGGGCGGAGCCGAGGGGGTGGAGGATCCGCCGGGTATATAAAGCCGGCGCCGGCTTAACTTCTGACTTGGGGTTATTTATTTGGGGAGTGCGCGGACGGCGGAGGCTGGCGGAGGCTGGCGGCGGCGGCGGCGGTGGTGGCTGCCGCAGACGGTGGTTAAAAAAAGGCGGCGGCGGCGAGTGATGGGAGCGCCGTGGCTCCCGGGCGCAGGCGGGAGCTACCGAGCTTTCCGGGCAAGGCGGGAGCGCTGAGGAGAAAGGGGAGCGTCCGGGGTCTCGCGCCCGGCTCCAGAGGCGCGGGCTGGGTTTTTGTTCGGCTGCGCTGAGCGCCAGGCAGCCCGAGCCAACAACTCCAGTTACAACAACAACCCACCTTCCCGCAGCCGAGCAAGACTAGGGCTGCTGCGTCCGTCCTATTGTTTAGACACTTGCCAGGAGCTCGGGAGTCAGCAGAGACACCGAGTCCCCGCTCCCTGTCGCCGCTTTCTCTCTTCCCCACTTCCCTCCCCCAAGAAAGGGGCGCAGAAAGCCACCTGGAGAGGGGGAAGAGGCTGGAAGGAGACAGGCTGCTCCGGACTGCGGCCGCTGAGTCAGGTGCAGCGCCCAGAGTCTGGCGGCGTCGCGACGTCGGCGGTACGACTCCCACCGTGGCTGTGGGGACTGGATTCAAACCCTGGGAAAAGTTCCTGCACTTTGAGAAGAAGGACCCACTTGTGGGCTGTCGGGGGGAGACCGAGGGTCTGCCCCGGCCCAGGAGCCTGCTCTTATTTCTTTCACCTTTGCCATCAGGTGTCTGCTGCGGAGCTGCGGCGTATCCGGGAGACGAGAGGGGCTGACACACGCACGCACATAGGACTGCCGTTCAGCTGCCTCCTGGGGTCTCCTCGGATTAGCAGATACCACAGACCCAGCTGCCATCTCTCCACCGTCCGGAACGCCCCGGGAGGACCCGGGAAGCGGACACCTCCAGCTTGGCCTTTGCACTCTTTCTGGCCGGCCGGCCAGCCATTCCCTAGTCAGCCTTAGCAGGAGCTCTCATCCTCAACTTGGCCTCTTGGATTTCCTCTCCCGGGGTCGTGACTAGTGGATATTCCTGCCTGCTGGGCGGCTCGATTGCCCTTTTGTCTTTTCTGCGTGACCCCGGGGAAGGCCCTCGTGTGGAGCGTCTCCAAGGACGCCGGGGCGGGAGGCGGAATTGCCCAGACATCCTTCAGCGAAGTGCATGTGTGTTTGCAAATCGTCCTCCGCTGTCGGTAGACGACGAGGACCTGCCCGGGCTGCGGAAGAGCAGCAGGCCGGTGGGGCAGGCCGCTTGAGTGAGCCTCGCCAGGAGCCCCGCAGCGCGGTCCCGCGCCCCCTAGGCTGCGCGTCGGCCCGGTGCGCCCCCGCGCGCCATGTCCGGTCGTCCAGCGCGCCCTGCTCCCGGCCCGCGGGGCTCCTGCGCCTTCTAGTTTTGGAGAGCCCACTTTGACCGAGGCCACCATTCCTACTGAGCCTCCTTCTTCTGTCTCCTACCGTCCCCACTGGAATTGGATTTGCAGAGGGGGTCGGTGGAACCGGGTCACCCCTGTTCCACGCGCAACTGGCCCCTGCATCTTCACGATCTTCACCGCGGTTGGGAGCTCCAGGTCTTTTACCTCCAAGTTGATATTCGTGAGGCAGACGGCGCGTGATCTCCTCCCCGCTGCTTTGGGGTCTCCCTGTAGCCTTGGCCGGGCCAACTGATCTTCAGGACCTAAAGTTGCCCAAGGAGGGCCTGCCTTGCAGGAGGAGGGTGAGGGGAGCTGAGAGGCGTGTATCTGTGTTAGCTTTACTGCCTTGAATATTACTGGTACTTCTATATTATCTTGTGCACGTTATCCGGACACTCTGGGTTGCTAGACTCGCGCCAGGCACTGGGCCTCAGGCACAGCGCAGTTCCAGCAGAGCAGCAAGCTAAAGAGAAAACCCCTGGCGCCGGCGAGCTAGGAGGCGGCGGGGGAAGATGCGCGGCGTGGGCTGGCAGACGCTGTCCCTGTCGCTGGGGTTAGTGCTGGCGATCCTGAACAAGGTGGCGCCGCAAGCGTGTCCGGCGCAGTGCTCCTGCTCCGGGAGCACAGTGGACTGTCACGGGCTGGCGCTGCGCAGTGTGCCCAGGAACATCCCCCGCAGCACTGAGAGACTGTGAGTATGGGCTCTTCCTCCCCCTTCCTCCCCACCATCGGGGTCGCGCAGCCCCTTCCTCGAGACTGGAGGGACTGAGCGGCACAGAGAACTGTGTCTGGGGCAGTCCTCACTAGCTTTCCCGAAGGCGCATCCTGGTCTTGAACTCTCTGGGAGGGCGCTGCCCGGGGAGGGACCACTGCCCAAGGAGGGGCGGGCCCGCTGGAGGCTGCGCTTGGTCCCTTCCTCCCGCTCCAGTCCCGCCACTCGCAGCCCTTTGCGGGCGAGTTCTGTGAGGCTGAGGAGACGGGGAGATGGGGGACGAATAGTCGCGGATGCCTGGGGCAAGGGAGACGCGAATTTGTTCCTCGGACTCTGCAAACGGAGTCACCTTGCGGTTGGGAACTGTCGCGGGTCGGTTCAGGGCCGAGTCCCGGCTCTTGTCATCGCGGGGTGGCGCGAAGAAGGGGGGTTGACGCGGGAGGGGGGGTACTCAAGAGAGAGAAACCTTCGCTCCCCGGCTTTGTGTCGCCCTCCTGGGGACTGGGGGAGAGGAGACGGGGTCGTGGGGCGGCTGAGCCCGCCCAGGGGCGCTTCTACAGGCCGCGGAAGGAAGGATGCCCCAGGACGGCAGCAGCTTTCGCGGTGGCCGCACGCAGCCCCCCGCGACTCTTCCCCCGCCTTTCATTTCCCCTGGGAGGAGGCGGCGGCGGCGGCGAGCCCCAAGGACCTGTCCGAGGGGGGAGGCTCCGGAGGCGGACCACGTCCCGTCGGCTAGGCGAAGTTAGGGCTGGTTCTCCAAGCGGAGCCGGCCAAGTCGGGTCTGACCAATTTGGTGACCCCGCGGCGCTCGGCTGCCCCCTTCGGCCCTT